GTATTTGCAGCTGTGGAATTTGTTGCACATGTTTCAAATACTTAGCTATTTTGGTCTCTTTCAACTTTTTTGTAATTGCATGTTAACCTTCTAATATGTATGTTATTTTGCAGATCAAAAAACTATGCTTTGACAAAATGTAGAACATTTATTTCAGTGAAAGTAGAATTTGAGTGATTTTTTTTTTATTTCCCCGACAAAATGTGCGAAAATAAATTTACATAGCATTTTTTTATTTTTTCAGAATTATTCCTTTAACACTTTTATAATACTATCTCAGGTTTTGTGTTTTTTGAAAGACACTAGCACATATTGACGTATTTGGTAGCAGTGCAGCTCACTTATGTGAAGTCATTATGAAGATTGATTGATCTGAAGAGAGTGCCTTATTTTAATAATTATTTAGTTATTGATAATTCAATGATGGCAGTTATCAACCATCACTTTCACCAAATACAGAGAATGCTTCTACTACTTTTGTATTAACTTAATGTATATGGTAGGGGTTAAAGTGTGCATGCCATGACCTTTTACAGAGTGCCATTCAATACTGTATTATGTATTTGACATCAGAGTTATCAAATATTAATTTTCAACTTACATTGCTGATTTAGTAACAATTCATGGTAGCGGGCAGTAAATATCAAATACAATATAAAGGGACACTGAAAAAGAAATGTAGATATACATTATGGTGGTTTTAGAGGTTATTCAAACTTTAAAGTGGACATTGAATATGGCATGAAATAGACAGATGTCATCAATTCACAGATATGTCTTTTGTTCAAATAGCTTTATAACTCATCTGATTTTTTGTTTACAACTGACTTGTACATTTCAATATTCCTTCTCCAGTACAGGGTTGGTATTTTTGTTGTAAGGATGAACTTCTGAATTTCCTATTTCTAGTTTTATAAACCAGAGCTCAACCTTTAAATTAATAAATCAAGGATAAATGGTTTAATTTTAATACTGTATGCAGTGTTTAGATAAAATGTGTCTAAATGATTCTTTGTTTGTTATAGTTTCAGCTGTAATACAGTCCTGTTTTTTTAGACATTTAAATATTTTCTCTTTCAAAAAGAAGCAACTATTACTAAGAACTTCTGAACAAATATAAAGTCATTTTATAGATTAGAAATTAAATAATTAAAAAATAATGTACACATTCATGAATACTATTTGATATGTCAAAGTCAAATTAGATCTGGGCAATTAACATTATTGATAAAAATTATGTTTAAATTGAGTAATGTCACAAAAATAATCAACTAATTGAAATTAGTGTTTCTGGTTGTTACTTTGTAATTATTCCAACCATCCAATTAATTGAAATATTTCCATTGTCATTTCTCATTATTATATTTGATTAATTCAACTTCACCCATTAATATTACAAATGAAGAAAATAATCTTACTGAAATTAGTATTTTAGATTATTAGCATACTTGATTAGTTAAATGTAATCAATTAAAAAGTTCCAGTAACATCCCAGCTGCTCTGTAAGCACTTAATGGAATAAATAAATAAATCAGAAAATTGAATCATTAATTGGACAAACTTCTTGTTAACAGCATTTTCAAACATAGACATTTTCCTAACTTATGGAGACTTAGACTAATGCTAAATACACACTAAGCCACCAATATCACATAATCTTCACAAGTGTAATTATGATTTCTTAAACATTATTTAAAAGTCATTTTATACATTATAATCAGTAAAATTGGATGAAACAAGCCATAAAGAAAATGGAGTGTTTTGTATGGTTAGTTTGAATTCTTTCAACTTTCACTGTTTTTGGTAGATAAAGATATGAATAAACAAATTGTGAATAATTAGTGAATTAATTGTTCAGTAGGTTAGTTTGTGACCTCATGAATCAAATAATCTTTCTGGAACGTTGTTAGTCTTTAAACACACATTTTTCATTCTGAAGTTTTAATGTACAGGGTTAAAAGATGGTGATGTTTGTAGGTTTTAGTTCCTACTTCTGACTTGTTTGTCAGTTGTGCAACAGTTAACATCTTACGTATTTTCTTAGGCTTTAATGCAATTGAATGAAGTATTTCCTGCAGTTCAAGCAGCTGAAAAGGCCGTAAATCTTAACCCTGTGTGGTGGATTGCATACCAAACTTTAGGTCGTGCACAGTTAGGAATAGGAGAAATAAAACTAGTAAGTTTAAAATTATTCTTCTCTACAGAAATCAAGTACGTAAAACATCTGTTTTATTGTTGTTATTTCCGTTTTGTTGTTTTTACTGATTATTTGAAGCATCCATTTAGATTATTTTTGTTTTTAACAGTAATCCACTGTAGTAATAAACTTTAACCATAAATCCACCCGTTAGTTAATTTCGGTGAGTAGTTTTAACTATCAAAAGAGTACATCTTGTTTTGTAAAGTATTTTTTGTTAAATGTTTTAAATAAAAACTGTGTAGTTCAGGTACTTATAGCTGGATTAAGATCTCAACTTTGAATATAAAAAAAGTAAGATGTTTGGATTTTAAGTTGTTGTTAGTCGTTGCTTCAAGTGGTTTATTTTTACAAGCTTGATAAAGTTTTAGGTTGTTCATACATTAAAGTGGAGCTTTTCTTTGGGGTATTGTTTAATTAATTGACCTTAACTGAGTAAAGATAAACTAAAGAAGTTTCCTTTTCAAATACTGTTCATGATATAATTTTCTCTACTTACATGACTCGTGTCTTTATTGTTAAATCTGAAAGAAAATTAATTGTATTACAAGCACTTTGTGTTTTAGTGTATTTATATATGCATGGGTAGGATTTGGGACCTAAATGTAGAGGGTGGAGGACAGAAAAAAATTCTAACTCAACTATTGTGAATTTTGTGTGTATACTATATCTCACAGAAAAAAATAGGGGGGGGGGAGCAATTTGCTCCTCCCAATCTTACATATGTATATACAGTGTTTACTGTCTTATTTAGTAAGAAAAATGTTTCATGTTCACCAAGAATTTTCTAAATTTTTTATATATGTTTCTAGCTGCGTGTGTAGTTTTGATAATAGAACAATGATTAAGGAATGCAGCTAAATTCCTTTTGCTGTAACTGACTCGTGTTCTGGGTTATTCCCCTATGGCAGGGGTTAGCAACCCTTCAAAGAAGAAGAGCCATTTTTTTTTGTTATTGTCTAAGACCAAAATATTTCGAGAGCCACAATATGCCATAATGGTCTAATCTATAAAAAAAAATAAGTCCTCCAGTGGATTTACAACACTAAAATCAGGGGTGCAATTCCCTTCGGTGGACACAGCAAATAACCACACAAATCTCCTCAAAGAGCTGCGGGTTGCCAACCCCCCTGCCCTATGATATCACAAATGCACTTTCTTATGAGAAAGATTGCAGTATAAAGAAGGACAAGAATATTTTCCACTGGCAGGTCAGGTGATGTCTTGAGGTTATGTCCTTTATTTTGCTAATGACCATCACTGATGTGCATTGTTTTAAATTCTTGTATATAATGTTATACTCTCCAAGTCTAGCACAAGTAACTCTTAATCTGGAACAGTGTGTTGATCCAAATCTCCAATGAAGTGCTATTACATTCTTAAGTGCATCTGTTTGCCTTTGATTGTTTTGTTAATAAAAATTACGTTTCATTTTGCTTTTATATCATGTCTGGTCTCTTTCCTTATGTTCCTCAAGCTATATTGGTTATCAGTACATCCCAATGACTTCAAGCTTCTGAAAACCACTTTTAGTTTCAATATTTTACTGCTCTTTATTTAATGGCTTTGTTAGTTACTTTATTAAAATTGTTCAATATCAAGATTTTGAAATTTAGCATTGACCAGCTGAGTTATCCAATCATAGAATTACTGATGAGTTCCATTTTTAATCTTATTTATGAACCAAACTGCCTGTGAGTCAATGTCCAGGACTTTGGCAATCAGGGTCACTAATAACCTACAAGATACACAAAAAATATCGCAATAACAGATGTAAATGTTCTTCCAAAAAACTCAAAGATTTTTCCTATACCCTCAATCAAGCCTCTGAAAATTCTTTATTGATTTTTCACTGGTTGAAGTCAGCACCACAGTGGTGTAGCTTCATTGACAGAACACCCAATAATCAATATACAGTTTCTTTTCCCTGTTTTTTTTCTCTTTCTTCATTTTCTTCCCAATTTTTATAATTATTTTCACACTTTTTAGACAGTATCTTTACCCCTACCCTACCTTGAGCTGTTGATCTCACTAGTTACCACATGAACTCTAAAGTCAATAATTGGAAGGTTAATTTAGTTGTGTGTCTAGTTTTAATGACATTGATATATATCTTTTATACAGGCTCTGACTAGTTTTAGCAAAGCTTACCACATTAATCCAGCCAACGTGGACTTGTGGGAAAATGACATAAAGTACACTCACAATCTGGTGAAGAAGAAGAAACAAGTTGAATCAGCTCAAAGTTATGAAGAATACCTATGTAAACAAGCTCTTGCTGAATCCGAGAACATGGTGTTTGACGAAGATGGTGTTCTTATCAGTTTTAGAGAAGATTCAACAAAGACTTTTTCAAAGAATGTTAAGAATGATTTAGTAAGATGCCGGTTTTGAGACGGTGGTTCTAAAATGACTTGGACACAAACTGAGGATCGTTAGTAAGTTTCCAACTGGGAAACATTTAAATGTGTAGGATTTATATAATGATCATTTTAAAATTGATCTTGTACAATGTGTATTTGAAGATTGTTTTGAGTTGACAAATGTGTCCTAAGTTTTGTAAATAACAAATGTAAACAAGTTGTGATTTATTATATACGTACCAGCTGTGTTTGTTACTGTAACAAAACATCAAGTAATAATCTACTACTTGTATATATATAAGACAATGATTTGTAAGCTTAATGAGATATTTTAATACATACTACATGTTATGACAGAGCATTGGTCTGTCTTCTTCAGATATGATACAAATCCAAACAAAAAGGTTTATATACAGAATAAAAATGTCTGGGGACTATAGTCAACAGGGTGTTATTAGGTTACAACAATAAATTATGACAGATTTATTACCTAAAGGAAGATCAGAGAGAAGGGAAGCTGGTGAATAAATTTAGACTGATTTTGTTAAGGTTACTAGGGCTATTGTCATGTTTTATAGATAAAACACTTGTTTTTATAATTTCCATGCTTTCAAGAATATTCCATTCTATTTTATGTTTTGGTTGGTGTAAGAGGGACATTTTTTCCCAAATAAACCTATGAATGGTTTCAAATTGATGATGTGTTAAGGCAGATTTTTCAAAATCCCTCTAAGCATACGGCTTTGATGTTCTTTTCGTCTGATTTTGAGAGATTGGGCAATTTGTCTAAAGTATTTCTTATCACATTTTGTGTTATATATGCCTTATTTTGTTTGTTCATTAGAGCTTGTTTTAAGGTATATAATGAAGCACTTATCTTATGTGAGGGGTTATATACAATTCTTACTTCCAGTTTTAAAGTTATTAAATAAAAGGTTATTTCAATAGCCATTTCAGGAACAAAAGTAAACAAGACAAACTTATTATGATTTATGTTACTGATAAGGGAAAGGCTGGAATTAATGTAGAAATGTTTGTAATTTTATGAGTTTGATAAAGTTTCTGTTTATGATATCAGGACTGAAACCCCTAGATATAGCAACATTTTTTAAGTAGTTAAGTTCAATGTATAAGTCTGTTTTGTGAGTACAGAATTATATTGCATGGTTTATGAGAGTATAGTATGTAGAACTTTTTTGTGACAGATGGTGATTATATCTTTGGTGTGGTGGCATAGATACAGCAAAAATTTTCATGTATATATTGGTGATCATATTCTTGTTTTATCTCATAATTTTAACCCCTTAAAAAGGAAATGCAGTTTTCAGATTCTGTTGCATATGTAAATGTTATAATAGTTGGTCTTGTACTGTTTACAAATTCATCAAAAGTGGGTACACTGTCTCTACCATGTTGCCATATGCTAAAGATATCATCCACATAACTTAGCCAAATTACAGGTTTTTGTGTATGCATGAAAGAATGTCCAAAATGTTCTTTGAACACAGACATGTATTGGTCAGTAAGTAGGGGAGAAAGGGAGGATCCCATGGTTAAACCACTGATTTGTTTGTAGAAGTTATCTTAATAGGTAAAGTAAGTGTTGTTGACACAGTATTTAGTTAGGCTAGTAAAGTAAATGTTGTTGACACAGTATTTAGTTAGGCTAGTAAAGTAAGTGTTGTTAACACAGTATTCAGTTAGTCTAGTAAAGTAAGTGTTGTTAACACAGTATTCAGTTAGTCTAGTAAAGTAAGTGTAGTTAACACAGTATTCAGTTAATCTAGTAAAGTAAGTGTTGTTAACAGTGTTTAGTTAGTCTAGTAAAGTAAGTGTAGCTAACACAGTATTCAGTTTGGATCAGGGTTAGTTTGTTCCAGTTTGGCCTTTAAATAGATTAGGGCCTGTTCTATAGGTATAGGAATGAGGAGAGATTTCATGTCAAATGATATTAAAATGTCTTGTTTTTCTTTTATTGAAGCAATAATTGAAAAAAACCAAGACATTTTAGTATGCTTTGATATAAAAGTTTTATTTCTGTATTCTTATTCAAAAGGGTTAACCTATTATCTTTTGATCTTGAAGGAAATGGGGTAGTGGTCACCATCAATAATTTCATGTGCTTTGAAGTTGGTGTTGTTGTAACTTGGCAAGTGTTTAATTTTTTAACCATTTGACCAGAAACTCAAAAAGAGCTCAAAGCCAAATGTAATTGGGGTGTTCAGAAAGGTATATTTCTCTTCACCCTAATCAAGATCTAAGGATAACTTAACTAGCTAATAATAATAGAGTGAATGTTACTTAGATACGGTGATGGTATACTCATTCAAAATAAAATAGGAGGAGGAAAGTCGGCAAGTAAAACACGTCAAAACTGACAGAATAATCTATCTGGATAGTGGCTGAACTGTGGGACTAAGACGTATATGGATTAGTACACATGAACATATAAAGTTGTAACTAGATTTAAGGGAAACGTGGGTGCGCCAAGTTTCTGGGGTATTAGACAGATATGAAAATTCTATAGTTAATGGGTTGTGGTTTACTTCTTTTTCATAAAAATCTTTAGCTAGCTTGATTATTCTGTCTGATGGTATCTTATTAACTGTGTTGAGGTAGATTAGTGGTGTGTGTATATATATAGGTAACCAGAAAGCTATTCTTAAAGCTAAATTCTGTTGTGTCTGTAGTTTCATAAATAGTGTATCTGACATGTTACATAGGATCATACTGCCATATTCAGCTAAGGGTGTGATATAAATACAAGTACAATGGTGTCTGGGTTGCATCTTTTTTGGAGTCCCCCCCCCCCAATCTTCTGAAGATTACATAATCTTTGGTTCATTTTACTACAGACATTGTTAATGTGCTCTGTCCATGTTAGTTTAGAGATAAAAGGCTAATGGGTCTGTAATTATTGGGATCTTGGAGATTTAGGGATTATGTGATTATTAATTACTAGATTATTTACTCTGCCTTCACCAGGGGAGATATTGTTTTTGAGTTGCTTAATGTTAATTTTTAATCCTGCTACAGTAATTTGGTGAGTGGAAATGCCATATGTTAGTTTGTATGAAATTGGGTGTGAGAATATCTTCGTTTACAGAGATAAACTTGTTGATTTTTTTCGAGATGCACGTTGTCAAATGAAGGTAAGTTCATTGTTGTAAATTGCCACTACTATTATCATATTTTATGTGGGTCGTGATTTTTAGTTGTATGGCATATGCACTTGAATTTCTTCCAAAATTTGACTGATTGGTCTATTGAAATACAGAAATTCTCCCAATTAGTTTGTTGTTGTTGTTCACTGATTAACTTTTTTGTGTTGTCTCTAGGTTTAGGAAGTGTTTTAAAGTTAGGTAAGGTAACGGTTGACTTACTATTTAATAGGGTTACATTTACTGCTATTACTGAAGGGTTACTTTTATTAGCAAAATTAAAAAGTTAATATTTTCTATATCTTAGACCACCTTGAATGTTTACATGTAAAAAGTTTAGAGAATTGTTAAACTTGGTCTTTGTTTCTCTGAGCTATTAGGTCCACCAGGATTTCTGGTGAAAGTCCATGGACCTGTATGTGGTGTCGGGCTGTTGAGGCTGGGAGGGTTGCGTCTGGTGGCAGATGCATAAAAAGCTGGGCGTGTGGTTGATTCTTGTTGATGTGAAGCTGCTTGGCGTTGTTGAGTTGTGCTAGTACTGGAAAAGACTGGCTGGAAGGTGGCACAGATGTGGGTGTAGGGCGTAGAGTCTTGGATCTAACTCCACAAACAAGTTGGAATTTAGGGCATACTCCATAGCAACCAATGTGCTGGCCTCTGCAGTTGCTGCCTTGCCCGTTCTTCTGGCATTTGGTGACTGGGTGCTCTCCGGCACAGTGAGCTTTGGCAGTACAAGCAGCACAGGTATGGCCAAATCTCTGCCAGTTAAAGCACTGGAGAACAGGTTGGCTGGAATTGTTTGGTTCTTCTACCTTGAAGTGTTTGAACCAAAGGGTGATTCTGTCTTGTAGGACTTGCGTGGCTTGTTTTGGATCCATCAGGGTAATTCGTACTAGAGGTGTTAGTTCATCAGTGCGTGTTAACTTGATTCTACTGGTGGTTGTGACTTTGAAACCTCATGGAGGTTTGTTTGTTTGTTTGTTTTTGGTTTTTAACTTTCTTGACTTTTCTATTATACTACTTATATATGAGTGAGGTTTATCATTTCATAGTGCTTGTGGTTTTATTTTTTTCTACAATTAATTTGGAGTTGAACACAACTGTGTAGGTATAAAATAATGCACAGTTGTAAGCGGACCCCATTACCTTGAAAGTCTTACTAATAGCTGTTGCTGTTAAATATCTTGTAAATTAGGTTATCCTAGACCTCCACCTAGTATCATTAAAATATCTTGTAAATTAGGTTATCCTAGACCTCCACCTAGTATTGTTAAAATATCTTGTAAATTAGGTTATCCTAGACCTCCACCTAGTATTGTTAAATATCTTGTAAATTAGGTTATCCTAGACCCCCTCCTAGTATTGTTAAAATATCTTGTAAATTAGGTTATCCTAGACCCCCTCCTAGTATTGTTAAAATATCTTGTAAATTAGTTTATCCTAGACCTCGTGTTCTTCATTGGGTTGTGTTTGTGTGTGTGTGCTTGTACTTGGTTTTACTCTGTGTGTTTTTCTCAATTTTTCTTTGGCTTAGCTTGTGTATAATTACTTGCTTCTTCATGTATTTCAGTATGTTTTTGTGACTGTGTTTGTGTAGTTTGTATCTTCTCATGTTCTGTGTAATATGTTTGTAATGAATCATGTTCTTCATAGTGTTGTGTGGAAATGACTTGGGTGTCAATATCAATGATTTCCATGCTTGTACATAAAATAGAACAAAATATTCATTAAAGCATTGAAATTATGAAAATAGGTGTTTTATCTTTAAACCATGACAATGGCCCTAGTAACATTAACAAAATCTGGCAAAGTTTATTTGCCTAGCCTCCCTTCCCTATGAACTTCCTTTAGATAATAACACTGTCATGCTTTATTGTTGTCACATGATAACATCTTGTTACCCATAGTTCCTAGACATTTTTGTTCTATATATAAACCTATTTATTGGATTTGTATCATATCTTGGAATTTATTAGTATATTGATTCATTAATTTATTTCCGACATGATTTTTCCCACACTTAGCAAATCGACGACCACGCCTATTCTGCCTGTAATCCTTGATGGATTACCCCTAGCCTTCTCACTGCGTGAGGTAATACATTTCATCACCAAGTACAAGCCCGGAGCCACAATGGACCCCAGCAAGAGCACGATGCTAAGACGAGCAGAATTTTCCTACAGTCAACATCAAAATCTGTTATAACATACCTCTGCAGTCTTCAGGACTCTACACCACCGGTCTCCTGCAAATCCCCACGAAGTCAGTCCCAACTATACACTGTATTTTTAAGAGATGTCGACCCATTTATAAGTCAGGATGATATCAAGAACACAATAGAACACTCCCTTAAAACCAAACACCATGCAGCCCACCACATCAACTCAAAAAGTTCAGGAAAACCACACCATTTCGTCGAGATAGTTACAACGTTGCAGCAATCTTCAAACCATATCCTTACCCACGAAATCTCCTATCATCTATACCACTTCAGAGCCGAAAAACCGCACCGCAAACCTCCTCGTCGCCCACCTCCACCAGGTACGGTTCTTCCTATCATCAAGCAGCCACATTCTTAAAAACCCATCCGAAGATTTGGTCCCGCAAGCTCTACCCTTCTACTCTTTCACCGGTCAACTCAAACTCGGAGAACAACCTCAACCACCTCTGAGTATCACACGAGATGCCTCCACAATGACAGATGACATTATCACAGTCTGCCCAAATAAAACCCTACAAGAGAATCTCAGTGGCTCACCACAGATGAATCCAGCTGCACTCAGTTCTCTTTTTCCCATCGCCTCTTGACCAATGGTGAAGACGATTTGCCTCATGATAGACCCCCCTCCAAAACAACCTGTTGCTTTCAACTGCTTGTTTACAAAAACAAGCTTCCTCTCAAGCTAGTTCTACATCGTGCAGCCCTCTTCCTTCTTTACCGATCATCAGTTAAGCCTAACCGGGCACTGGCTGATAATTATCAGGCACCAGCTAGTGAAAGTGGGTTTTCTCAGAGTGCTCACCCCCCGTATCTAACTCCAGGCATTGGATCTATAGGTCTCCCGCCGCCCTGAAGGACAACGAGTCCTACCCTACATCGGCCGTTTGTTTTTTGCTGACTTTTCCTGATTCCCTCTTTGCTGCTTTTTACTTGCTACTGATCCATAAGCCATCGTGTGCTTCTCAAAAATTATCAAGTCTGTGTTATTTGTTGTTGTTGTTTATTCACGTAATCATTCCAAATTATCTATACCACGAGATTAGGATTAAACGTTTTAAACCAAAATTACTATCAATGTTTTTGATGTTTTTTGTATCACATCTGAAGAAGACAGACCAATGCTCTGTCAAAACATGTATGTATTAAAATATTTCATTACTCCTACAAATCGTTGTCTTATATATATACACGTGTCCTAGCAAAATGTGTTTCCCTACTCAAATATACAAATCTACTACTGGTTAAATACAGTAAAATATTATAACTGGTAAACTGCCTTTTGCACATGTCTTATCATATACATAGTGTTTTTTTTAATTGAATTAATATATTTTTAGAGCTGTGCTATGACAGTTTGTAGTCTTCCCTATTAGACTGATATTTGTATTTTACATTATACTAGATATTAAGCCTAAGACTATATACATACGTTTTAACTATAACATCATTGGTTAATCATCAGAAATGATAAAATGCTGTATATTTCATACATAATAAAACTATTTACCATACTTCCCAACATGTTATTGAAAACAGTAATGGTGTTTGTTTAAAGAAAACAAATAATTGTATTTTTAAATGCATGCTTTAGCAACCTATTGTACAATTTTAAACTAGTCATCCTAATTTGACCTGGTGATTAGGGTGTCACAAAACTTGTTCATCTTTTAAACTAGCCATCCTAATTTGACCTGGTGATTAGGGTGTCAAAAACATGTTTATTGTTTAAACTAGTCATCCTAATCTGACCTTGTGATTAGGGTGTCACAAAAAATGTTTATTGTTTAAACTAGTCATCCTAATCTGACCTTGTGATTAGGGTGTCACAAAAAATGTTTATTGTTTAAGCTAGTCATCCTAATCTGACCTTGTGATTAGGGTGTCACAAAAGATGTTTATCATTTAAGCTAGTCATCCTAATCTGACCTGGTGATTAGGGTGTCACAAATCATGTTTATCTTTCCAACTAGTCATCCTAATTTGACCTTGTGATTAGGGTGTCACAAAACATGTTCATCTTTTAAACTAGTCATCCTTATCTAACCTTGTGATTAGGGTGTCACAAAACATGTTCATCTTTTAACCTTGCCATCCTAATCTGATCTGGTGATTAGGGTGTCACAAAATATGTTCATCTTTTAACTAGTCATCCTAATTTGACCTGGTGATTAGGGTATCATAAAAGATGTTTATCGTTTAAGCTAGTCATCCTAATCTGACCTTGTGATTAGGGTGTCACAAAACATGTTTATCTTTCAAACTAGTCATCCTAATTTGACCTGGTGATTAGGGTGTCAAAAAACATGCTCATCTTTTAACCTTGCCATCCTAATCTGATCTGGTGATTAGGGTGTCACAAAACATGTTCATCTTTTAAACTAGCCATCCTAATCTGATCTGGTGATTAGAGTGTCACAAAACATGTTCATCTTTTAAACTAGTCATCCTAATCTGACCTTGTGATTAGGGTGTCACAAAACATGTTCATCTTTTAACCTTGCCATCCTAATCTGATCTGGTGATTAGGGTGTCACAAAACAGGTTCATCTTTTAAACTAGTCATCCTAATTTGACCTGGTGATTAGGGTGTCATAAAAGATGTTTATCGTTTAAGCTAGTCATCCTAATTTGACCTTGTGATTAGGGTTTCAAAAAACATGTTCATCTTTTAACCTTCCCATTCTAATCTGATCTGGTGATTAGGATGTCACAAAAGATGTTCATCTTTTAAACTAGTCATCCTAATCTGACCTTGTGATTAGGGTGTCACAAAAGATGTTCATCTTTCAAATAGTCATCCTAATTTGACCTTGTGATTAGGGTGTCACAAAAGATGTTTATTGTTTAAGCTAGTCATCCTGATCTCACCTTGTGATTAGGGTGTCACAAAACATGTTCATCTTTTAAACTAGCCATCCTAATTTGACCTGGTGATTAGTGTGTCACAAAACATGTTCATCTTTTAAACTAGTCATCCTAATCTGACCTTGTGAATAGGGTGTCACAAAACATGTTCATCTTTTAACCTTGCCATCCTAATTTGACCTGGTGATTAGGGTGTCACAAAAGATGTTTATCGTTTAAGCTAGTCATCCTAATCAGACCTTGTGATTAGGGTGTCACAAAAGATGTTCATCTTTCAAACTAGTCGTCCTAATCTGACCTTGTGATTAGGATGTCACAAAAGATGTTTATCGTTTAAGCTAGTCATCCTAATCTGACCTTGTGATTAGGGTGTCACAAAAAAACTAGTCATCCTAATCTGACCTTGTGATTAGGGTGTCACAAAAAATGTTTATTGTTTAAGCTAGTCATCCTAATCTGACCTTGTGATTAGGGTGTCACAAAAGATGTTTATCATTTAAGCTAGTCATCCTAATCTGACCTGGTGATTAGGGTGTCACAAATCATTGTTTATTTTCAAAATAGTCATCCTAATCTGACCTTGTGATTAGGGTGTCACAAAAGATGTTTATCATTTAAGCTAGTCATC